AAAGAACGTGCAGGAGGAAGATAAGAAGTGAAAGTTTTGGCTGACTGGGCTAAGTTGAAAAAGCAATAACTAAGGTACCCTGGAATTTAAATTTTACAAGAAATAACATCGCCCCCAAAGAAGAGTCGGAAGCAATGAAAGAAAGTGAAAAGGGAAAGGGTTGGCTTTTTTTTTCTTCTCTCTCCTTCCTTATATTGACAATTAAGAATAAGAAATTGGAAAAATCCACTTTGGCATCAACAGGCAATTAAGCTGAAAATATAACTAAATGCCAAAGGGACAATAAAGATTTCTGGACATTAAAAACTTTTTCTTCTATAAGCAGGAAGGGAGAGAAAAAGAATAAGGGCAGGATCTGGAGGTGGGAGGAGGCTGTCTGGACTTTAAAAGAATCTAAAGTAAAATTTCAATAAGACTTCTAAAAGATAGATTTTAACTGAAACTTTCCAACTAAATAGTAACCCCAGGAAGAGAAAGTGGAAAAAAAAGAAAGAACAAAAAGAAACACTTTGTACTTGGTGACTTTTGGATCTTTGGCTATTATATTTGAATGACTAAAATCAATTGGGTGGTTGTTTAAAAACTTTTACAATGGCATCACTTTTTGATGAATTGAAAATGGACCTTAAAAATTACAAAGAAGAGGTGCAAGAAGGGAAGGGTTCCTTTGGCTTCGTTTTTCAATTCTTAGAAATGGAGATTTGGAACTATGAGAAACAACAAGAAAAAACTGCAAAACAAGAAGACTGGGACAAAGAAGAAGCCATCTTTAATGAACAAGTAACACTATGTGGGGAAGAAAAAAGAAAGGGGGGAAAGAGGATGGAGAATTTAAGATTTAAAAAAACAACCAAAGAAAAGGAAAATAATCCGAAAAATAAGTATAATACTGGAAAACAACAGAAAAGGGGAATACAGAAGAGGGAAGAAGAGGTAGAGAGACAAAGGGGTAAAAAGGGGAGGGAGAAGAAGAAAGGGAAGAAGGAAAGGAAAAGAAGTCATAAAGGTCCGGAGCAAGATATAAAGAAACAGGACTTATTTAGAGATAATGGGTAAAAATTTAACTGAAAGGGGGATTCTGTAAAGGTACATGAGATTGTGTTGTTATATTTGAAAAAAATAATTTTAGAAAATTGGAAATAACATATGATTAGAATGAGGGATAGAATGGTTAGTGTAACTTAGTGAAATGTTTGTGAATAAAGTAAATGAAATAAAATAAATGAGAAAATTGAATTAGGAAGGAATGGGAACACTTTAATTAGTCAATGTTTTATAAAATATAAGTGAAGAGGGGGGGAATTGATTATGGAAAGCTAATAACTGTTCCCATAGAGGTATGATATTTAATTGAAAAGTAACATGAAAAATCTTAAGACTTTAATGAATTTTAATATTATTGATAGAATTGAATTGGAATGAAATGTTGTTTTAATTATATACATTTATAATTTTTTCTTTTTTATAAGAATATTGTGTGTAGTTTAAGAATGTACCAAACAGAATCCAAATGGAAGCTATGTGTTATATTGAGTGTTATAACTTTAGGGGAAAGATATAAAGGCGTCATACTCCAATCAGTAACTACAGGAGAAATTTTGTTTAATGAGAAAAGAGAATAGACAATTGAAACAGGACAGACAAAAAATATAAATATAATGATTTGAATTGAGATGAAATAAATATAATAAAATTGAGGAAATTAAAAGAGGGGAGAAGCTATGTAGAAAATGTAAAATTGTAATAAGATATGGAATAGAATATAAAAATGAGCATGAACCTGAAATTGTGTCTGCACGAAGAAATGTAACCTGGGATTATGCTGCTTTCAAAAAAGATGTTTTAATTTCTTTTCTTTTTGTGAAAACTCAAATAAAATTTACCAAAAAAAGGATCTAATCTCTTTTCAATAAAACAGATCCTTTATGTGGGGTTGTGTGTGTGTGTTTAATTGGAGTGTTATTGTCTGGATACTTTATGCACCAATGTTTGAATAAGATGTGTCACACTACTTTTGAATCTTTTCATGCATGACATGTTGATTCAGTTAAATAATAGACAAATCATTCTCCTGCAACTATATGTGAGTTCAACCACTTCAAAATGTTCAAAAAAGTAAGATGCTTTGTAATATCTCCCCCTCCCCACCAATAATCCATACTGTGCCCTATACCCTATAGTCCTGCCATGTGATCAAAGAAAACATGACATTAAATATGTTCCAAAAAAGGCAACATAGTTATGGCATTCAATTGGGATAAACTGGCTTGGGATTAAACTTGGTTATTTGAATAAGCTTGGATGAAGTAAGAATGAGATAGCATAAGTCTGGCCATCATAAAAGTTAGTAATTGTCACTAACCTTCACATTTCCAGCATGGATGGCTTTCTTCAAATGGGCTACCTTCAAATAACTGTCACTGATTTATGTAAGTCTTTGGGCATAACCCAAATCTCATCCTTTCCAACCTCCAAAGTAGATGATTCGTGAGCTCATTCAAATCTTCTCCATTCAAATCTATCAAACAGCAAAGCTTCCTCTTTAAAACAAAAACAAAACAAAAACCAAAAAAACATAGCTTTAAGGAAAAACAAAAGAACTTTACACCACAAACCTCCAATACTATACTACCTCCACTATTTCAGTACCTCAAGACCAAATATTTATAGATAATGCTTTGTCTATAATAAGTGATTTATCATATAATAGTATAATAATTAATTGTTAAATGACCACTAATTTACTGATTCATTGAACTGATAGAGATTTAATACTGTATAATTGATTATCTAGTCTATTGATTGATTGATTCTTAGTAATAAGTTGATTGATTGATTTTTAGAAATAAGTAACCTTACTTTTGATTTGTTCTCTAACTTATCAATTAACATTTATTAATTACCAACATTCATTAACTGACTACCTATCACATTAATTAGTTATTGTAATTGTTTAGTGTACTATTGTCATTGACCATGCCAGCCAGAAACTCCAGAAACTCCAAATCCTACACTACCAAACAACAGAAATATTTGTACCAATGACCTCCCAGACTCCTGTACATGCTTCAGATGTCTTAAAACCATCAATGAAAGTGAAAATAACATCAAATGCTACCTATGTGACAATCAAGCCCATCTTGCCTGTTTAAACTTAAACAAAGACCTAGATGATCTCCTAAAAGCATCAGATACTTTCCCTTGTCTATGTCCATCATGTTTTCCTAAGCTAAACAAACCAAGTACCCTGCCTGACAGAGTTGATAGCATAGAATCACTCAGGCACTCAATAGAAAAACGCTTAGCCACACGTTTTGAAACAATTACAAGAAAGCCTAATTTCTCTTGAAAAAAAATACAGCACTGATAAGCGACTACCTATCAGCTCAAAATCAAATCCCAGCCCAACAACCACTACCATAACTACTACCTCAACTACAATCACAACTACAACCAAAAATAGCCACCAAACCACAACCACAAATAATTACTATACCATCAAATAATTCCACAAATGATATCTCCTTACTCATCAGAGACACCATTGAACATGATCAGAAATGTCCAAATGCCATCTTATTTGGTCTTGAAGACACCAACGAATCAGATGACATCACCAAAGTTCGTAATATCATAAGCAACTCAAATACAACAAACATCTCTCCTGATGATATCATTGAAGTAACCAGAGATGGCCCTAGTCCAAATACAATGATGGCTCGGTGGCCCAAAAATTTTGTAGAGTTGTTTGCAAAAATGAGTCCAGCAAATGCATATTCATTCATACAATAAACGCCATTGAAAAACCAATCCCAACCACAAAAAACTTCGCTCAAGATCAGACTTATTCAGACTGCAAAGAATCCACTCCTGTGAACTCCACAAAGAATTCAAAAGATGTCTAGACAATGGAGAAAAGGATCTGTACATTGACTACTGCACAGATTGTATCAAAAGTAAGGCACACAACCCACAACTCCATATCCAACCCTACCTCATCCAACCCACCATCATTCAAAACTAGGCACACACACCCCTAACTACCTCAATTTCAACTACAACTGGCCTTAAATGCAAGCCTTGTGAATAAAATGCCTGAATTTCTCCTCTTACTAAATATGGCTAAATTAGATATCATATTTGTCTTTGAAACATGGCTCAATGCATCTCTCCCTGACTCCATTACCACAGTAAGAGACTATCATGTTGACCAATCAGATCGTGAAATCCGTAGAGGAGGTGGTGTTGCTATCTTCTATAAAAAGTCCTTATATCTAAAAATCCAAGTTACCCAAGAGCTTGCTATTCCTGAGACCATGTCTGTGAACTGTCCTTAAATATCACATTTCAGTTCTTACTATATTACAGAGCCCCTGATTATGACATCGAACATGTAAACAAGCTAAATTCACTACTTGCATGGGCAACATCCTGCCCACACACTTTTATCTTTCTTGGTGACTTCAATCTACCTCACATTAACTGGACCCTAAACGAACGTAAAACTGAACCCATACATGCAACCTTCTACAATGCAGGAACAAATCTGGGACTGGAACCAACAATACTAGACTTAACAGCTGCCTCGATCTTCTGCAATAGTTTGAATTCAATTTATGGAATACAAATTAAAGAACCCTTTTCCAACAGTGACCACAGCATAACTGACTTTTGTCTCAACATATGTCCACACAAAAATCAACACAACGATATGATCCCCAATTATAACTTCAAAAAAGGCAACTATGATCTTATAGACAACGATCTCTCATCCCTTGATTGGCAATTTTTATTCACTGGATGCAATACTGTAGAAGACCATTACAACATATTTTTATTTGAAGTCAAAAGAGTCATCAAACTATATATACCAATAACAACTCCAAAAACCAGAAAAAAACAGATTACCCATAACAATAAGGAAGCTTCAATCCAAAAAAAAGATCACTTTGGCAGAAAAACAAATCTGGTCACGTTGCCAACTTCAAAAGCCGATACAAAAATTTATGCCACCAGATAAAGACTGAATGCACCGATTATCACATTAAACAAGAGGAAAACCTCCTATGCACCAATTCCACCCACGCTTTCTACAATTTTGTAAACAACAAACTAAAATACTCAAGGTGCATCCCACCTTTGAAAGGACCTAATGGTAAAGACTGCAACGACCACACTATTAAAGCCATCCTCTTTAACAAATTCTTTGGCTCAGTATTTGTAAGCAGCAATGGATCATGCCCAGTATTTCCTAGTCGAACCACAGACAACTACAATGATCTAATACATATCGATTTTACAGAAGTCAATGTTGAAAAAGCACTATGCAATCTAAAACCATCTCTGTCTATTGGACCAGACGGAATATGTGCCTACTTCTTAAAAAAGCTATCCACTGCCATAGCCGAACTTTGTCAAAACTAAGGTCACAAGCCACAGTCATCCCCATCTTCAAAAAGGGAGACTCCAGCCTAGTTGAAAATTACAGACCAATCTCTTTATGCTGCATCATTTGTAAAGTCATGGAATCAATTATTAACCAATCCATTATCCTCCACTTAGAAACAAACAACCTACTCTCTAATAAACAATTTGGTTTCAGAAAAAAACTATCCTGTAATCTGCATCTTAAAAAACATATGGACTACACAACTCGATCAGGGCAAAGCAATAGACGCAATCTACATTGACTTCTGTAAAGCCTTTGATTCAGCGGTACATGACAAACTACTCCTAAAACTAAAATCTTATGGTATCTCTGGACACCTGCATAACTGGATAGAAGCATTCCTGTCAAACAGACAACAAATGGTCAAAATTGGGAGCGTCCTATCAAATTCTGTACCTGTCAACAGTGGTGTCCCCCAATGCAGTGTTCTAAGACCAACTCTTTTCATACTCTACATAAAGGACCTCCATGATCATATTAAGAGCAACTGTGTTTTCTTAGCTGACGATGTAAAGCTATTCAACACCACAGACAATACTGCTACCCTTCAAAAAGACCTTGATTATGTATCAGTATGGTCAAACAAATGGCAACTTCAAATCTAAACAAATAAATGCTCTGTCTTACATATAGGCAAAAAAAAATCAGAAAATAAAATACAGGCTGAATAGTCAAGACCTTGTTGATGATCCAAACTCTGTCAAGGATCTTGGAGTACTCATCTTTAATGATCTAAGTGCTAGAGCCCACTGTAACTACATAGCCAAAAAGGCATTAAGAGTTGTTAACCTAATCCTATGTAGCTTTTTCTCTGGTAATATCACACTACTAACTAGAGCATACAAAACATTTGCTAGACCAAGATTCAAATACAGCTCATCAGTCTGGAACCCACATTACATATCTGATATTAATACAGTTGAGAAAGTCCAGAAATATTTCACAAGAAGAGTTCTCCACTGCTCTTCTCATTGCAGAATACCTTATGCCACCAGACTCGAAATTCTAGATCTAGAAAACGTAGAACTATGCCGCCTTCGGTCCGATCTAAGTATAGTATATAAAATCATACATTGCAATGTCAATGAATACTTCAGCTTCAACCATAACAATACAAGAGTAAACAATAGATACAAACTCAAGGTTAACCGCACCAAACTTGATTGCAGGAAATACAACTTCAGCAACAGAATGGTCAATGTCTGGAATACCCTACCTGACTCTGTGGTTTCTTACCCAAACCCCAAAAACTTTAACCTTAGACTTTCTACTATTATCTCACCCCTTTCCTAAGAGGTCTGTAGGGGGCATGCATAAGCGCACGAACATGCCTACTGTCCCTGTCCTATTGTTTCTTTTATTTTTCTTATATGTATCCATATATTCATAACTATGTTTTTACTTATACCTATTATCTTGTAAGCAATTGACAAACCAAATAATTTTTTTTCTTCCCAAAACTGTATCACTCCCTTTTCCCCCTGTAGTTATGACACTGAACAATTCCTAAGTGATTGCAATAAAAGAATCAACCTCTGAATGCAAGTAAGCTGGAAATGGATTATGGAACCCTGAGTAGATGTTAGAAGAAGAACAACCAGGGCAGGTTCAAGAGAGAAATCAGCCTGGAGTCATTACATTCCCATAAATGATCAAAATCCAACCCCTGTTGAATGCAATTAACTCTCATCTAGCACCAGTTTGGTTAGTTGACTAGATTCTTATGAAGACCAAGAGTGGTAAATTAGCTTAATTGGAATTTCACATGTGGACCTGATTCTTCACTCCTGACATTGTAATAAGGTTCTAAATATTTCCTTCAGGCAACCAACATTAGCAATAGCAATAGTAATAACACTTAGACTTATATACAACTTTATAGCCTTTTACAGCACTAAGTGGTTTACAGGATATTGCCCCCAACAATCTGGATCCTCGTTTTACCAACCTTGGAAGGATGGAAGCCTAAATCAACCTTGAGCCAGTCAGGATTGAACTGCTGGCAGATGACAGAGTTAGCCTACAATACTGTACTGCATTCACTGTGCCACCCCAGCATTAGTTAGCAGCAATAAAAATAAAGAATATTCCCTAGTTCAGTTTTGTTTTGTTTTTCTTTTGTCTATGTACAATATTATATATGACTCTCTCTGCATGTCTGCCTCCCTCTCTCTCTCCACACTCTCCCACATACAAAAAAACCCCCCATACTTAATAATAGGCTCACACAATATCCTTTGCTTGATCAGTAATGTAACAAAGGGGTGGAGAAGTGTCTGCAGTACATTGAATACTGATATTTCATTCTACTCGTGGATATACTGAGGATCTAAGGATCTTCCTTTTCTGTTACCTATCTGGGCCTTAGGATTCCTTGGCTAACTAGGAGAGAGAATATTCATTTGTATCACTATTATGTGATAGAATGAATGCACTCTGTCATAAGTTATATTTGAAGTCCATTTTTCTTTTGGCATTGAGAACATCTTCAAACATACATCTCTTGGGCTAGGCTTAATTGTTGACTATTTAAATCTTGATCCAAAGTTCAGAACTGTTTGAATCTCAACACACACACACACACACACACACACATTCATACAACATGCCAAGCCTTAAATAAATAAAACTAAAGCCTACCACATTTAGAGACAAATGCCTTTGCAGGGGGTTTATCAGATGTGATTGCATGGTTTGAACCAGGGGTAGGCTTCAAAAATTTTAGCAGTGGGTTCTCTGCCCAGTTGCTGGGAGGGTGTGGCCATGGTGGATGTGGCCTAGTCAGTCTCCTGCACCATGGTGAGGGAGGGTGTTTTTGCCCTCCCCGGGCTCTGGAGGCTTCCTCGAGCCTCTGGGGGGGAGAAAATGGCCTCCCTGGGCTCCAGAGGTTCTGGCCTTCCCAAACTTCCAGGAAGCCAGTTTTTCACCCTTCCCGAGCCTCTGTGTGCACCCTGCACTTATCTGAATCCAAAACAGGCCACGTGGGGACTCCTGGGAGTGATGGGCAGGGCCATCCAGGAGTGGCATTTGGGGGTTCTCTGAACTGCATAGAATTTTAGCTAGGGGCTCCCCCAAACCCCTGTGAATTCCCCAGCAGCCTGGTTTGAACCCATCTAATGAATCAATCCAGCTTTAAATGTTTTAGATCATTCAGAATTTAAAATTCCTAGATGGAGTTTAAATCAAGAGCATTTTGAAAATGTTGGGGAAAAAAATCTCTTTCTTTAAGAGGCTTTGGAAATTTACAAATTATGAAACTTCATAATTAATTTACATATTGGATTCTCCCTGAAACAATTAACCAAAGGGCTTGTTCATAGAACCATTATGAGAAAAGCATTACAAAATCAAGTCACATATTATATGTGACAACAGAGGTACCTATATTCCAGCCTCGGCCACTGCTTGGGACAAATTGCAAAGACACCAACTGTCAAGTCATGCTGTACTGTATAACCTGACTCATTCTATTAATGTGGGTTATATTATCTTTCAAACAGTCTTGAGAGAATTGAATTTTCTACAAAGATTAATTCCACATTCACTTCACTGAACATTAATATATAGAGCATATTACTTTGAGCTCCAGGAATCCCTAGTGGAAAAGGGTTTTAAATCAAAACCTCCACATGGAGACTGGTGGCTCAGTGACTAAGACGCCGAGCTTGTCGATCAGAAAGGTGGGCAGTTTGGTGGTTCGAATCCCTAGCACCGTATAACAGAGTGAGCTCCCACAACTTGTTGACAGCTTCTGCCAATCTAGCAGTTCAAAAGCATGTAAAAATGCAGGTAGAAAAATAGTGACCACTTTGGTGGGAAGGTATTAGCATTCCATGCACGTTCGGCATTTAGTCATGCTGGCCACATGACCATAGAGATGTTTTTGGACAGCACTGGCTCTTCAGCTTTATAACAGAGATGAGCACTGCCCCCTAGAGCCACAAATGACTAGCATGTATGTGCAAGGGGAACCTTTACCTTTATCTAACATGTTAACCTTTGTGATGCTGTAAATTCACCATTGACATCACATTCGATTTCTACATTAGCTGTTAAAAAATCTCTTTGTTTAATTGGGGTATTATTATTTTTTGCAAAGTTTTCTCAGAAATAAGTCACACATATAGGCTATGTCAAAAGTGGACTTGCTATTTTTCATTTCTTTATTGTGTTCCTATGGAAACCCTAGAGAAATGCTGCTCTGAAATGGCATTAAAGAGAAAAGTATTAAAGTCACATTAGCTTCTTATTTTGGCACAAAGTTAATATTTTTGTTATTGCACATCCATCAGATAAAAAACATTATTTCATTCTGAGATTCCCCCATCCCAAAATTAGCTTATCAAGTAAGTACTGCATGATGCCCCTGGTTAAAATCTATGATTAAATGTCCCTAAAAATGCATCAGAAAACAGGGTGATCTGGGGGGAACCATAATCGAAAATTGAAAACAGTACTATCTAAAGGTATGCATGATGAATCGAAAGTTATGAGTGTTTGAAGAACTAAAATTTATTCTATCATAATTCTTTTCAGCCCAGTCCCTTTTTCCAGGGTTCTAGTGAATTCTAGGCAGACTTAAAATTAAAGCACTAGAACAAATGCTCAAATCTTTTAGCTCAGATTTTGAAACCATTTCCAAAGATGAGGCAAAGTATGAAAATTGTCAAAATTATCATAAAGCAGATGTATAGGTTCATATGATCAGGCTAGATTTTGAACAAAAAGAAATAGACTATGGGCCAGTAACCTCACAGAGATCACAATATTTCTAGCCACATTAGAATATCTTTGGGTCAGAGGTGGTATTCAGGAGGTTCTGACCAGTTCTGGAGAACCGGTAGCAGAAAGTTTGGAGAACCGGCAAATACCACCTCTGACTGGCCCCACCCCCATCTATTCTCTGCTTCTCCAGTCCCAGCTGATCGTCTGGGTCTTTCTTTGTTGCCCTGCACAGGAGGATGGAGCTGGAAAGCAAGTTAGTGGGGTGGAAGGGAATGGGATTTTGCAGTAACCTTCCCCCAGAAGTTGGGAGGGAATAGAGATTTTGCAGTAACCTTCCCCTGCCATGCCCACCAAGCCACACCCACAGAACCGGTAGTAAAAAAATTTGAATCACACCACTGGTTTGGGTGGCATTCTCACATCTGAGTTGCAATCCAGTCTTTAATTTATTTTGCAGCAGTTTCCAATAATAATTTTAAAAATTGTTGCATTGTATATACATTTTCATAGATATCTTCTTAATATATTTATCTCTATATAGTTCCTTTTTCATATATGCACACCTGATAAGCATTTTTTGCCTGTAATTCAGGATATTTTCTCTTACTGTAAATATTGTTATTTATTTTTTCCTAACACAATGTAGAGAAATTCTCAGGACCCCAAAACCTTTGGGTGTATGCCAAGAAGATCTTCAAAACTTCATCCAAATTGTAACTTTGAATGAGAGAGAATAAACTTCTTAAACACACACAGTAAAGGATAATCATATTAATAACTGGTTTAATTTAACATAATTGAAAATCACCAAAGGTATTGCTAGTTCCACTCATTTTTAAATTTGATCCTTGATTTCTATTGTCTGACATACCATTCAAAAACCATGTGGCATTCAGCCTGGAAAAAGATACGTGTGCCTGTGGCAATCTAAGTATTTTTGTAGGGTTCTCTTTTTATTACTTCTGAACTATTTTGCAAAATATGGACATTTTCAAGAAGCTGGAAAGTCATTTGTTAAGGATGCCCTACTTTAGATTTCTGACATCAGCCTACAAACTAGATTAACTACATTATAAGCCCCCTCCAACTCTTGATGTTATGATATTTATTTTAGGAATATCTGGAAAGTAAATATTTCAAGAAACTGGCAGCAAAATGGTTGACAGAATCAGAGTGCTAATCCTACCTTCAGAAAGTAATGTTTTCTGATACACACACACACACACATCTCTGTGTCTGTGTGAAGTTATATCTCTATATAACAGAATAACAGAATTGGAGGGGATCTTAGAGGTCTTCTAGTCCAACTCTCTGCTGAGGCAAGAAACCATATACCATTTCAGTCAAATAGTTGTTCAAGCTCTTCTTAAAAACTTCTATTGTTGGAGCATTCACAACTTCTGGAGGCAAGTTGTTCCACTGATTAATTCAGTGTCAGGAAATTTCTTCTTTGTTCTAGGTTGGTTCTCTCCTTGATTAGTTTCCATCCATTGCTTTGTGTCCTGCTTTTAGTTGCTTTGGAGAATAGATTGACCCCCATCTTCTTCGTGGCAGCCCCTCAGATATTGGACCATTGCTAACATGTCAACCCTAGTCCTTCTTTTCATTAATTCTGGACATATCAAATTCTTGCAAGCACTTTTAGTATGTTTTAATTTCCAATCCACTAATCATCTTTGTTGCTCTTCGCTGCACTCTTTCTACAGTCTCAACAACCTTTTTATATACTATTCCCTTCCAAGATAAACAACATTATATCAAATACTCTAAGCCAAAGAAATGAAGAAAAACAAAGAAGAAAAACAAAGGAGTTCAATGTAGATTCTTCCAACATAATTCTGTATCCTTGAAGACAATACTTTTCTACAGGGCTTTCTCTAATAGCAAGATGCCATTAGGCTGTTCTTGTTGTTTGTGTCTTACAATAGCCCTCAACTTACAATCGATTGCCTAATGACTGTTTGAAGATATGACAGACCCCCCAAAAGGGACTTACAACCCAGATTTGAAGTTCTGATTTCTGCTCTCTCTAAACCCCCCCCCCCCCCGCCCCGGACATGTGATTGTATTTTGGATGTTCACCAACTTGCCTGCATTTATTGCCAAATTTATTTATTTATTTATTTGTTTGTTTGTTTGTTTGTTTGTTTATTATTTGCTTGCTTGCTCACTTATTTATTTGTTTGTTTGTTTGTTTCTTTGTTTCTTTGTTTATTTATTTATAAACTGACATTTACTTCCGGTTTCCAGCAAAAAAATGCCCCACAGTGATCAATAGGTTTGTTTCATGCCATGCCATGGCATTCACTTTATGGCTGACATGTTCGCTTAATGATGCTGCAAAAAAGGTCATAAAATTGCATTCAGTCACATAGTGAACTGTCTTACTACTGTCACAACTTATGACTGAAATTATGGGCTCAATTACTATCATAATTGAGGACTACACGTCTATGTTTTAACTATTTTATTTTAAAAACTAACTGTGGATATTTTAATGCTTTATTAATTTGAGTCCTTTTACCATGGATATTAATATTTTTGCTGAAAACTGCTCTAACAATTTGTAAATAAATAAACAGTAAATAAATATGTACATTTCCTAGAGCTTCTAGAATGAGGGGGATTTTAAGCTAAGTAAATAAATGAGTAAATAAGTAAATTAAAACATTTTTCAATGCTTTGCAATAATATTAAATTTAGAGGTTTCCCCCAGGGTTAATATAATAAGAGACCCAGATTAGAACTGCAAGAATCATAAGATTTGGGTATTCAATGGATTACTGTAGAGAATAAGGAACATGGCCTTGATGAGGAGATGTGTGAACTCTGTTACCAAAGAAACAAGGGGGAAACATGGCTTAAGTTCAAAACAGACAGCATAGTCTTTCAACAGGAGGTTGAACAACTAGCCTTGTGGTGCAACCGGAACAGTCTTAAACTAAACACACTCAAAATCGTAGAAACGATGGTATTTTTTAGTGAGAAACCCTCCTATGCTACTACCTCTTACAATACTAGACAGCACAATATCAACAGTAGAGACCTTCAAGTTTCTAGGTTCTATCACATCTCAAGACTTAAACTAGACACCTAATGTTAAAAGACGTCATCAAAAAAGCACAACAAAGAATATTCTTTCTGTTGCCAACTCAGAAAGCTCAGACTGCCCAAGGAGCTGCTGATACAGTTCTACAGAGGAATTATTGAGTCTGTCATCTGCACCTCTATAACTGTCTGGTTTGGTTCTGCAACCCAACAGGACAGACACAGACTCCAGAGGATAATTAGGATGGAAAAAAAAACAATTACTATCAACCTTCCTTCCACTGAGGACCTGTATAATGCACAAGTCAAAAAGAGAGCTGTAAAAATATCTGCAGTTTCAATTTCTACCTTCAAAACAACGTTATAGAGTATTACACACCAGAACAACTAGTCACAAGGACAGTTTCTTCCTGCATGCCATCACTCTGCTAAACAACTAAGCAGGTTTATCCTTTCCATGGAATTTTTGGTCCAGTCTGCTAGTTGAGTTGACAGTAACTGAAAGGATTTTCCTGTGACGGGGACTCCAAGCTTGAAGTACCAAAGTTTAATGTCCTGATGCTTCATTCAGATGGATTTGCTTCCTATTAATGTTGCCAGAATTGAGAGTCCTGGTCAAGAGTTTCTGAGAAGGTCATATTCTCTCCAGGAAATTCTCCCACAACCTCTCTTTCTCCTGTATGCTTAATCTTTCCCATTTCTTATCGCTATTTCTTATTCTTCCTGTTATGTCCTGAGGACTCTAGGAGTTCTCACTCAGGTCCAGTCCCTTTGCGTGGGCGACCTTTCCCTTTCTCCCATTGGTTGGTTCTCCCAGCAGCCAGCTATAAAAGCGGGCTGCGGGGTCCAACCAGTTGCTGATTGCTGCGAGCCAGTTCCAGGCGTGGCAAGCACGGTCAGCCCTTTATTGTTATAATAAAGTATTGTTGCACTCATGCTCTGGTTCAGCCTCTCATTGCTCAAACTTAACACTGGCGACGAGGATGGGATGGCTACCAGAAGCACCATGCAACCGCTGAGTCACTAGCCGCGGATCCGCAGCCCAGAGAGAGCGATCGGCCGGCGATAAGAGAAACGCTGATCCGCAGCCAGAGAGAGCGGTCAGCCAACAAAAAGAGCAAACAAAAAGAGCAAACGCTGATCCGCCGACAGAGAAAGCGGTCAGCAAGCGAAGAGAAGCGAACGCTGATCCGCAGCCAGAGAAAGCGGTCAGGTTTGAAAGTTAGAAGCGTCTGTAGCCGCTTGTTAGCCCAGCTACAGGGAAAGTGAAGCGCTGCGAGCCGCAGCCGCTCTGTATCAGGCGCGAAATTCAAACGGTTGTCATTTGAATTTCAAACCTAAGAGAGACACAGCACAGCGCTGTAGCGAAGTCACTAACGCCCACACTGGCGCGAATCTAGACACCACCAATGGCTAACAGCCAACGTGGTTAACCCAGAGAGAAAGAGAGG